GAAAGACTGTTTTAACACGTATTGGATAAAGATGCAATTATTGCACGATCAGTATCGGCGAATGGGTGTGGATATGATTGTAGGTATGCGACTAGAGAGAAGATAACCACACCCGCACGCCCACGGACATCTAAATTGCAGGTTATCATAATATAATAAATTCTCGTATTTTTATCGAAATCACCCGAATATATGGGATTTGTTCTATTTTATGAAAGCAGAAGAAAAAGCTGTTAGCGCAATCTCTTGTGGGATAAAAAATGTGAAACACGATATAGATGTTGTTACTAGTCATACGAATATGGTTTTCTTCGATATACCGTGGGACCCATTTATGCATCAGTTCTTACTTAATTCTCTAGAACTACATTTTGAAATTCAATGTACATTGCAAGAATGTTTTACACTAACAGAGATTAGAAAAAGTAGATAGAAGAACATTCTAGCAAAGTGTAAAAGTTGAATGTGGATGAATTACTAATTGTACGGAACTAGCTGATCGCAAAACACTAGAAAAAAAGATGATTTTTTTCTGTCAGAAGTAAAACGTGCAAATTACAAAATATTTTATACCATTGTACAGAACTTGGTTTGATAATTCAGAAAATGTACTTGATTTCTCTGTTGAACAGTTTAATTTTGTTCGATATGAGTTTTCTTAATGGTATCAATATTTTCTGGCTAATTGTTAAGCAATTAGTTTTTCAGTTTCTTTTCAAAGTTGTAATAAAGTTATTTATACTATTCGATTAACAAGATTTTGAAGTATATTTCGGTAGATTTAAACCTTGAAAAAAAAAGTGATTCTTCATTTTTATTCAAATGTTCGTTTACATACACGCGTTGTGTGTGTTCCTCTTCGATTCATATGAAACGTCGACAACCATGCATCGAGGAAAACAAATTCATCTGTTTTCTCATTCATAGAAAACTTTTATGCGTACAAAGCTAAAAGATGGTCTTGTACCCAGTGAGACATAGTTGAAGTCCTAGATCCAATCATTGTAAATATCATATGGAAAAATCACAATAAAATCGCTGATCTTTGTGCGATTTGGGTTACACGAAGAGCAAAGATAGAATTTGTAAGGAAATAATTTTTCTTTTTTTTTCCATAAAATACGAATTGTTTAGATGCATTCTCTTTTTGCTATACAATACTATTTACAGTTTTCGATACAGTGTATATTCATGATAATGGTAGTTAATAAGGTCTTTAAGGACCTTTTTATCATTATTTCGTATTATATCTTGAAGAACGAAGTAAAATAATAAGGATATCAATTAATTTTTTGTGTTTTTAGGTATTTGATCAACAATAAAAGATAGTTTAATATTCATACGGAATCTGTGTATTATTGATATAATTCTCCGACAAATATTTTTGTTCGATCCATGATACTGAGATATTGTTTTTTCGTCAATAATGTCTGTTGCATAGAAAATGTTGATTTCAATAAAATGAATCTTTTCCATAATAATTTTGATCAATTCTTTTGAAGATTTCTGGCAAAAGTTTCCATGAGATGACAAGTCTGTTCTGAATTTTTTAGGGTCACAGAAGTGAATGAAGTCGAATTAACTGTACAACATACGTTCACTATCCAAGAACGTACTATTTACTATAATCTTGACTATATACCATAGGCTTTGGCAATAATCAAGTAGATATATAGGACTGTCTTTAGCGCTAGAAAGTTGTTGGATAGATCATGTGTAAACTATAATCTTAGTACATGTGAATCAATGAAGGCTGATTTAGTGCTTGCTATTATTGTTTGTTGTCACATGCATGCAGCCTAAATATAGTAAAGCTATCGATACATTAGAAGACTCGAGATCTTCTTTTATGTTTCTCAAAAAAGACTCATTTGTTGTCAGGATTGTTAACAAATCTTAGTTTCAATTCATTTTGCCCAATACATTGCTAGTGAACAAGTTTCTTTCGTGTATTGTACACTGCGTGGAATGAGAAAATGGTAGATATTATCCTATGAAAAATGGAAGACAAACACGAGTAAGAAATGTTCTTAAAACAATACAGTTAACGAATATCCTAACATTTGCGTACAATGCCCAATAGCTTTCTTTTTTCTAAAGAATAAGACTTGTCACTAGCAACATTTAACCTTCTCAATAACTATACTAGTATCACTTTTGAGCACCATCTGTTAAATGTCCTCTCATAAGCTGTCATCATTTGATCAAGAATTGTTATTGTTTTCGTGACTATATTTTATAATACAAACGCGGATTATTTTTCACTTCAGGTATTACTAAGCAAGCAAAGGATAGACAAGTGATACTGCTATTATACAAATATCAAATTCTCAAGTTTCATTTTATTACTACAGTAGTTCTATTTATAGACATGCATGGATTGATTGCACATTTATTTGTCTGTTTTCAACAATGTTCAATAATGATAAAGATAAATGCATGAACCATTAGACATACAAAGTGGGCCAAGAGTCACATGAATATCTTGGCCATAATTTGACCAAATGGACTTTTTTTATTCATGATAAAGAAATGTTTAAAGCTTACATCCATAAAGAAATGGTTGAAAAGAATCGTATGAAAGTATCAACAATATAAATCTGTTGTTCTCTCACACATTACCAAAAAGCAGGAGATGGGTACACGGTTGGTTTGGGAGCTTGGGTTGCTCATTTTCATCACTCACATTCATATTCGTAATTACTTATGTTGTCTTTTTCAATAATCTATACATCAAACAATAGTCATAGTTTTGTTTTCATTATGTCTGCCATATAGTACGCTTCTGAGTTATAGATCTTGTGATTGGTCAATAATTATGAAGACAAATGATCATTGAGAAGCCTATAGGAATACGATTGAAAATGCTCCACTCTAGCAATTCAGAACTATCGTCAATCGTACAATACAGTTCAATATGGAAATAGCTATAGTATTTAGCCAATAGGTGCACTGTGATATTCCATCTATTGCATGAGAACAGAAATAAAAACAAAAGAAAAAAAGCTTGTTAGTGTCGCCCCTTTGCGCCTAAAATATGGAACTCACATATCTTCTTTAGTTTCATTATACTAAAATAAAGAACGACAGTTCTTTCCCAATGATAGTCGATTGTCAGCAAATACTCTATCTTTTTTTTTATTTCTATATATTTAGAGCATTGACAATCATATTCCATTCATGCAAATTTCAAGAACGGCTTGAAATGTTTTGGAACTTTTGAAATATTGTTGTAAATATCATTCAGCACCTTTTTTCCATTGTTAAAGAATTATGGTAAATCATTATAGTGTTTGTTGTCTTCGATTGCTATGGAAGCATACACAATGACGTTTAACCTCCAGTTACTAAGGTCTGCAGTAGGTAGGGAGGCACTGGGAGCTATAAACTTCGACTTGAAACTTACAATTATTATTTTCTTACAAAATATATGTGAATTCCACAAAGCAAAGAAAATTCTTTTCAGTTTTAATTCGACAGAAGTAACCACAAGAAGTGAATTTTAAAGAAAAACACAAGAGTTTACAAAAAAAAACTCAGTTCTTTTGCTTTAATGTTTTTTTCTTTTTTTTCTGTCGTCCTGTACGATCGAGATCTGTTTCAACATGAACAATCGACTGTTGACTTGTCCGTCCTTGTCGTCTGGGTCCACCAAACCATCGAGCACACCAATCAGCAATATCAAACATATTTGGATTTGGTTGAAAAATATTGCCTGTTTGTTGCAACATCTGTTGTACATCTTGTTCTTGTGAAAGTAATTTGGGTAGAAAAAAAAGTGAAATTATTCCGAAGATTATTGGAACACACATTGGATTGAAAATAAGATCAGTCCAATGGTAGACTTCGCGTTTTTCAAAATAATTCGGCTTGGTATACGTATCGAAACGGAGCGGATATTTTACTACAACAACTTTACGTGGTTCAGCCAAGTTAACTTTACACGCACGAATTTGTCCATTAGCATTTATATCAACACGTACTGGCTCAAAAATGTGTCGTGGTGAACTAATAGAAACAACATGCGAACCACTTGATACACCTGATAATGAAGAAGAGCAAATCTTAGAAATTATTATTTCTCCTATGAGATAACCTACCTGATATGACAAAAGTTCCATCAATTCGAGGAATACCGATATATTCACCTTCGTTAACCAGTATACGTGTATCGCCGAGAGCTTCATCATCAGATGGGAAAATGATTTGTCCTTCAATTTGATATGAGCTAACGCTCTTACTGGAACTTGTCGATAATACACTTATGCTTTCACGACACATAATAAGCATGATTAATATCGAATAAAATTGACACTATATGATCGTATTTGGCATTTTCAGGGCACAAATCGAAGAGAAAAAAATATTAAAATTGATTATCTAAAAGATATTATCTACATAAAGCTTACTTTTTAAAAGATAGTCTTTTAATCAGAATAGTTTTGTAAATAAGATTTTTTCTTTTCTAAATGATTCATACATGTGTGTCTTACTTGTGTTGAACATGCATTGGCGCATTATTTTTACAACATCAGTCAAATGTTTATTGTTTTATTCAAGTCGACATCATATCTTCTCACTTTTCGATGCGTTTATTGTTTTGCTATAAAACCATGTATAATTCACGTATCTGCGTGCTTTCTCGTCGTTTTTATGTTTTAAATATGCGCGCGTCTGAGCGTTTGACTTTATATGGTTATTTGCTTTTGTAGTAGCATGCTAAGGAAGCAATCAGCGCTAATATGGACAAAAAAAAATGATTCAGCACTTATTGCTTCCCGAAACTTTCCACTCATATGCTTAATCGTTACTCCTCTCTCCACAATTTCAAAAAGGCATGTGTTCGCATCAACGTTGTGAATAAACATTATTCAGATTTTCTGCATCGAAATTTTTTCTTTGTTCTGTTCCTTTGAAAGTGGATAGAAACCAATTTTTGCTAGTAAACAAAATTTTTCCGTTCTTTTATTACATGTAAGACTTTTTTTCTGTGAAAACGGAAGTAATCACTTATGTGTCATATGAGTAAAGTAAACACTGGACTTACTATTTTCGCATCTGATTTTGTCAGTGATGACTGACGAGAAAACATTTCCAACTATCAAAATACTTTTCGCTTGAAACTATTGTCATTCGATTAGCACTGACAAGTGGTGAAAAAATCTGATTTGGTTCAATTTTTTAGTCTTCTGTTATTAGAGTGTGAGTGTGGATGCAAGTTGAAATTAAAAACAAGACACAGACGTGCATCTACAGCCCGACTCTATGAATCTGAACATGTCTATCTTCGTCTAGTACAGAAATCATAGCTCGACAAATTACCACAGGTTAACTTCACGTGAGATTATATGAGAATTTTCTAGTTTGAATCTATTTGATTTGTTTTTCTTAAAAGAAAAACACATATTTTGAACTGTTTTCAAAGTGGAATGGTGAGAAAAGATGCTGACGAGGGAGGTACCCGAAGTGATTAATCGGTTTTGAGTTCAAACTCTGTGCACAAGGTAGACCCCAGTAAGGTGCGAAAAAATTCAAAAGGATAAGGGCCCATAGGCCTT